ACCAATCTGCAACATGTGTTTGTTTCAATGCATATAGAGCTCTTGCCAACAATTGCTGATGAACCACTATTCCCCATCCTCACTTGGCCAGTAACACCACTAGTGTAAGATGTGAAATACTCCTTGTGTGATGTGATGTGGAAGGACGCACCTGAATCCACAAACCAACTCATGGCATCATCACGAACAGCACTATAGCAATCTTCATCTTCAATGACTAGATAGTCCTCATCTGTTGCGGTCATGGCTGAACTGCTCTCAGCCTTTTGCTCGGTTTTCTTTGTGAGTTTCCCCTCTGCAAGCTCTCTTTTATACTTCCTGCACTCGCTCTTTATGTGTCCCGGATTTCCACAATGAAAGCAAGTAATATCTTTTCGCTGTTTTGACTTTGATCTCCCCCTGGATTTATTTTTGCCTTGCTGAAATCTAGTATTGATGCGTCCACAGTTCTCATTCTTCCCATGGGTTTCAGCCACATACGCATCAGAAGAAGAGGCATCACCCTTTTCCTTCTTTCTGGCTTCTTCATTCAGCATACTGTTCTTCACCATCTCCAAAGTCAGCTTCCCATCCGGAGCTGAATTGCTAAGTGACACAACAAGCGTGTTCCAACTATCAGGCATGGAACTCAGCAGCAACAATGCTTGCACCTCATCCTCGAAGTTGATCTTCATGGCTGAAAGTTGATTTATATGGCATTGAAAGACATTTAAGTGTTCAATCACACTTGTGCCATCTCGGTACTCAAGCTTTGCAAGTCTTTTGATCACCGAGGCTTTGTTCATTGATGTCTTCCTCTCATACATAGACTCCAACTTCTGCCACATCTCATAAGCATTTGTGTCATTTGCAACATGGTGGAAAATATTGTGGTTGATGTACAACCGAATCATACCTACTGCCTTTCTATGCAACACTCTCCATTCTTCTTCGATGACACATGTGGGTATCTTGTCTCTCACAATTGGCTCATACAAATCCTTGCAATAAAGGATGTCTTCCATCATGGGCTTCCATAATGAGTAATTGGAAGAATCAAGTTTTATCATGCCACTTGTAGTAGCGCTTTCTTCCAAAGCCATTGTGAGCAGCACTTCCAGCAACAATCAAGCAACTGCGATTTGCAACTTTCTAAGCAACCAAGGCTCTGATACCACTCTGTTGGGAATTAGCACACAAATGCACTTATGGTTAATTGATAACTGCAGCAGAAACAAGTAATCTCAGCACCACATCATGTACTAATTCAAGGATCATTGCTTAGCACGGAAGGAAACATATGCAGCAGCATATATGGAGGCAGAAAATGGTACTCAGCAGGCAAGACACTCCTCAGCCTAGTGTCTTGTGGTAGGAGTAAGTTTCTGGACAGCACCAAGCATCAACAAAGAGACACCAGATTTTTACGTGGAAAACCCCTCAACTTGAGGGGGGAAAACCATGGGCCGAAGCCACCCAAATCCTCTTCCACTATTATCAAATGTGGGATACAACAAGTTCTTCTCTAGAAAGCACTAGAGGATCTCATACATCAAGATTTCTAAATCTTGGATGAACACAACAAGATTTGGGGGTTCAAGAACTAGGGATTGGAACAATCTCACCAAAGATGGTGGAACCGAAGCTTGAAGGAGACAAGATAGTGGATCTGGACCATCACAACCTTGGGGAGGAGCTACCTTGCTTCTTCCTTCAATCTTCCTCTTCTTCCCTTGCTCTCTTGGTTTTCTCTCTTCTTCTCTCTTGGAGGATGAACTGATTTTCGTCACTCTTGGTGGTGGCTGCTGGATGGAGGGTAAAGCATCCCCATCCACTCATGTGCAAATTCCAAAATGACCCTAGGTCATAACCCTAATGGGTAGTGGGCTCATGCACCTCTTTGGGCTGCCTAAAAGGCCTCAAATGGTCATCTCCTCACAGCCCACATGAGGAGGATATCCCAACACCTCATACCCAAGAAACACCATCATCAAGCTTCTTGGCATGTGGCTTTGTGATATTCATGTGCGCGACGTAACCGAAGACCCGCAGGAAGTGGACGTGCGGCTTCTCCTCATCCATGTTAGCCCGTCGAACATTTTCTTCGGTGAGTGGCTCAAGAGAAAAATGGCCGTAGTGACCGCCTCTCCCCAGAAACACGACAGCATTGACATGGATTTAAGCATACTCTGGACCAAGGAGATGATCATCTAGTTCTGCCACCCCAATGTCGTTTTGCTGTGGCGAGTACAACACATAGAGTTTCCGCTTGGCACCCGTTTCCACACAATAGGCCACAAAGTCATTGTAGTCGAACTCGTCGCCTAGGTCGGTGCGCAGGGCGCGGAGCTTCTTCTTCTTCTTCTACTCAACTTCGATGCCAACCTTGAATCTACGGATGGCCGTCGCGGCTTCATCTTTTGCCTCGAGCATCAGCAGCCACGTGAAGAGGTTGCGATCATCGACGAGGTGGAGAAACATCTTTTTCCCACTGGGTATCGGTGGCGTGACCATGCCGCAAAAATCAGCATGTACCAGGTCCAGCACCTTTGGATCACGCCACTTCGCCTCCTTGGGAAATGGTGTATGGCGCTGCTTACCGGCGAGGCATGCGTCACACAATTGATCCACCTAAGAAATGTGCAGTAGGCTGCGAACTATATCGTGGAACGCGAGCTTGCGCAAAGCATGAAAGTTTAGATGCCCTAAGCGGGCATGCCACCTCTCGGATTCCTCTGCGCGGTGCGGGGCGTAGCAGATGGGCTGCACAGATCTATGTGGAGTGTGTAGAGGCAGTTAATTAGCACTGCGGTGTACCTAAGCCAGCACCTTACGACGAGGATCATGGATTATGGGAACTCCATCGCAGATCCCGATCTTGCAGCCGTGTTTAATTACCTTGTGGTTTCCTATCCGGTTAAAAGTTTCTAGACCTCCATTTATAGGGTGAGTTGTCTGTGCTTTGCATTGCAAGCGATTAGGAACATGAGAAGACAAGTAACAATACTTGGAGGTATAGTAAAGCAACTCTTAGCACAAGATTTGTTGCTCACTTGTCATCTTTGATCATCAAATTCCATAAAAATATATTGCAGTTGTTGTCTTAACAACTAAAATGCATGACTGAATCTTTTGTCATTTTGGATTAACAATTGGATTGCTGCAGATATTGTGTTAGTGGACAAGCTTATTGTCCACGACTTGGAAACATGCGTCTGGGCTGTACGAATTAAGATTCAAAGCACAAATATCTGTTCTTCTAGTTTGACGGACATTTGTTAGCCACTAGGACGAGAACTCCATCTCAATTACGGCCTTTCTGATTTGATGCACTTGGAAAACTTGTGGAGCTTCATTAGGGGTAAAGGGGCCAATGCCCCCCCCCCCCAAAAAAAAGGGTGCGGCTCAACCTATACATGACCTCCGAAGACCTGTAGATTGAGTGTGGGTTTCGGGCTCGAGCTACGTGCCATCCTTTATCTGTATCGTTAATTGCAGATTCCTCTCCCTCGAGACTTCAACCATCATTACTATACCAACTGCACTTGTTGTTGGCGGCACCTCACGCAGCGCCGCTCTTCTTCTACCCTCACAACTCTCTTGTGGTTTCTCTCTATCTTCTTCTCTCAAGAAAACACTCACTCACTCACACACACACACACACACACACACACATGCACACACACGCCTAGGATGAAACCAACCACTAGCTTTGCCAAGTGGCTCTCCTCCTTGGTGACACAAGTACATGGTCACTATCCAGCGACCTACGCGAGGAATAGGACACACCACAGATAGGTGAGTGTCTTGAGACGATGATTGTACTCAGTATGATAATTGCAACCAATATGCCAGACAAACGCGTAGAGGAATCACACATTGGTCGGCTCATGTTGCCAATTTTCCCTTCCTGCCCTTCTGTTCACTTCTTTGGTTCTTTTATGATTTTTATTCCTGGTTCTTTTTGCTAGAATTTTCTTTCATTTTGGTTTTCTGTTGTCGTTTTTCTAGAGATTGTATTTCTCCTTTTATATGTTTTATTTGCTTTTCAATTCTTTATTTTTCTTCTATTTTTAGATATATTCCATATATATATTAAATGTCTATGAATTTCAGAAAGTGTCCATGAAATTAAAACAATGTTCTCATATTTTAGCACACGAAGAATAGTTTTTCAAATACATGGTGAGCAGTTTTCAATACGCGAAGATTTTTTTTAATACTTGACAAGAAACTAATATAAATGCAATATTAAAAAATTCACGCGTTTTCAAATTTTGCGCATGGAGTTTTAAAAAAATCTTCTTAAATAGCGAACCAAAAATAAAGGAACTCTTTTTTTCTGCAGGGAGAAAAAAAAAAGAAACTCACAAAACCAGTTTCTACGAGCTGTGGAGTGTGATAACAGTGCGCTAGGAGCATATGAACAGATGTGCAACATTACTTTTTTGACCTGGTTCTTAAACAATTTTCCTATGATTATCCCAAATTCCATCTTTCATGTATACGCCGTAGCAGTCATAAACCGTGGCCTAGATAGTGCGCACGATCCGGGAGACGTAGAAAAAAGTCTGGCCAGACAGTGGCGAAGCTACAAATAAAATGTTGGGCGGGCCACCGAGCACAATTGTTTTTCAAATTCTGAACCATATATGTATACTATTTCAATGCCGAACAGTGCTACGAAATCGCAAACCGTTATTAGACCGTAAACAATTCCTTTGCACACTATAATAATCTGTAAATAACAAGATATTTGGTGGATTATAATCTGTATATAATAACAAGATATAGTATTTAGTTGTTGTGAACTTTTTTGTTTCTCCTAGAGAGCTAGAACGTTTTTTTTTTCGAGACAATCCTGGAGAGGCACAACTTGTCCATATCGTTCTCTGTCTCATCGGCCCATCTGAGCTTGCGGCCCACGCCAGGGATCCGAAGATTACCCTAATAATAACAAAACAAAAGGGGAAAAAAAATCCCAATCAGAGCCCCCCTCCCCTCCCGCCGCCGCCGCCGCCATGTCCCGCTTCGTGCGGCGCCTCGCCGGCATCCCGTGGCGCCAGATCGCCGGGGAGGCCTTCTCCGTCGGCCTGCTAACGGCGCAGGGCCTCTGCGCCGTCCACGTCGTCAGCGAGCACGTCCTCGGCGTCGCCTTCGTACGCGCCCTCTCCCTCCCCCTCCTCCTCCCTCTCTCTCTGACGTGCTCTCACCCTTGGCGTTGCAGCCGCGGGGCCCCAGCATGCTGCCGGCGCTCAACATGGCGGGGGACGTGCTGCTGACCGACAAGGTGAGCCCGCGGCGCGGGTGGGTGGGGCCGGGGGACGTCGTGCTCCTCCTCTCGCCGGAGGACCCGCGCAAGATCGTCGCCAAGCGCGTGCTCGGGATGGAGGGCGACGAGGTCACCTACCCCGTCGACGCCGGCAACAGCGATGCCACCAAGACCGTCGTGGTGAGTTGAGAGTACCGGATTGAATTGGATTTCAGATTTCCAGGCTTGTGTCCTCTAGATATGACAGACTCTTTATTTCAGATTTCCTAGATTTATGGCAACTCTGGTATCTGATCAGTATCAGAAACGGTGCCACCGAGTTGCTGATGGTATTTTTGGATGCCTGATGAATTGTGTAATTTTAGGTACCACAAGGTCATATTTGGGTGCAGGGTGACAATATCTATTCATCTAATGACTCGAGGCAGTTCGGACCGGTGCCTTACGGTCTCGTAAAAGGGAAGATGTCCTATCGGGTATGTCGAGTAACCGACTTCTCTGTTTTGCTTCCTCGTTAGCTTAGTAAAAAAACCTGATGAAGCTTTGGTGTGCTTCTGTACCCTGTTGTAAGATTTATATCTACAGTTTAACTCGATTTGGCGTCTGTCTAAATATGTAACTAGTGATGGTTTTGAACTTCAATTTTTTGAGTAACCGATTTTAAACTGCAGCTGTCATGTTATATCTTCATTATATGCTGTGAATATTAGGGAAATTAATGGTAACATAATATTTTATTGGCCAAAACAGAGTTTCAGGTGCTTCAGTGTCTTTGTATACTTCGAGGTTTAATTACTATGGTCTGCAATATTCACCAAATTTGACTAATGATTATCATGTACAGCAGACATGTGCTGACTCAATATTATGAAATACCTACTGTTGCTCTAGGCCCAACATAATGCACAGTTGGGTGATTGAGTGCTCTGCTTTTGGTTGATTTAGTGGCACTAAAGAAATTCTCATTCTAGTTACGCGCGGGGGACAGTATTGCCCTTAATAATATCACAACCGTTCTTTGATACTGTAAAGTTTACCAGGAATACTGAAGTCTGCTTAGATTTTTTAGACACCAGGCCATCCTCTGTCTATTAGGCCTTTTTCTAAGCTGGACAGTTGTACAGTCAAAATTACCAGGATAAAATCAGAGATTAAATGAGTGTTGGTTTTAACTGAGAAATTTTGTTTTATCAGTTAATAATGTTATTTAGCTACTGCATTGTCTTGCTGATAATCGTTTTCACACACTCGTTATCAAATTATATGTGTAAATTCATTTGAATCTCGTAAGCGATAAAATTCATTATGCATCAGCTGGTAGTTGGAATGCATTAACCAAATGTGAAATGCGACAGCATCTCCATGAGTATTGGGGGCCATCCTCCTTGGAGTCTTGTCACTCAGTTTTTTCTTGCTGGTCAGTATTGACAGGGTTTTTTGTTCTCAGATTTGGCCACCGTCAAGGATTGGTGCAATTGATTCAAAAGAGTAGGACACAGGTAAATTGAATTCTTGTTACCTACTATTTTTTCAAAATTCCCGATCATCCCTTTTCTGCATGTTAATTTACCTTTTGCCATTTTTCCACAACCATCCAAGTCAGAGTATAAGCGACAGTTCATATGATGCAACCAGGCCCTGCATTTGTTGGTGCACATTTGATACTTCACAATTTTGGTCCTTGCCCCCCAGAAGCCCCGTTCAGCGAATCTATGGCATGATTCGATTGTTGTGTCTCATGTCGTAACTTATGTTCTGTGATGCTTGTAAAGTGAACTAACCTGATGAAACTACAAGTTCCGGGCATGGCTGATGAGCTATCGTCTTGACGTTGAGATTGTATTAAACTTGTCATTCTCCTGGACCAAAGCGTGATCAGTTGTGCATTGTAACATTTGCTTATTGTTAAGGCCGTTTTAAGTGAAAGGAATTGTGTTATCGGTGAGTGTTATGGATGAGTGATTATTCAAGTTCAAGCCATTTCAGCGTAACTAAGTTGCTTTGGAAGAAAAAAGGCCAGTGGGCAAGCTGTGTATGGCGGTGCGTGTCAGATTCCTTTGCCTATTGCATATAGCGGAACATGGTAAAATTCCGTATTGCATTTTTCAGGCTGTGTGAAGCATCGTTTGTTCTAATTTGTTAAATATTTGTATTTAAAATCTGCAACACATGTATACTTAATCACTCCTTGGTAACCTAGTGAGATTACGGGCAAGATTGCGCCATTGCTCTGGGAATTTCCGAATTCATTTTCGGCGTAGACTGGTAGGTGGTTTACTTGATCAATGGGACGGCATAGTTGTTGATGCTCAGAATGTTAATTTGAACTCCTCACCTGAGCCTTTGATAAGAAGCTTGATTTTGCTATGAAATCTGTAAAATAGCTGGTTGGAAACAGACATAGCTGGGGCTAACAAGATATGGAAAGATTTTCATGTGGCAGTTGTGTCGTAATTCGATTCTTACTAGAGATAATCTGAGAAAACAGCTAAACACTTGTTTGGTTCTAACATGGCCAAAGTTATCTGGGTTATTGTTGGGCATGTGATTTTGTGTTGCTTGCTGAACTTGGCCTTGCTCTTTCCCACCACCGTTCCAAAATATAAGACGTTTTCGCAATTTAATTTGAACCAACAGGTTGTCTTACATTTGCAAACAGGGGGCGTAGAATGTCAAGTAGGTGGTAGCAAATTTTCGCCCTGTAGCTAGCGCTTCCACGGCGAGCTCCAGGTGACGATTTTCGCCCCAACTCGCTCCCCCCTTTCTCTCTTCCTATCATTGCTTTTCGCTTTTCGCTTTTCGTTTCGTCAAGTATTGAACCGAATGTGGATGTATGTACACCTGTTTTTCGAGAGTACTATTGAACACCTGTTTATGGGCCAAGTTATGCTCAATCGCCCTCTTCTGTGACTCCAGATTTGAGAATTCAAAACAAGACCAAACCATGATTAGTTCAGATCAAAAAGGAAAAGACCATGCCTGGTTTCTTGAAATACCGCACCCCGTGTCAAAAAAGAAGGGGGGGAAAAGTTTAAACCTGAGTGTACGGAAGATGAAACACACGCAAATTTGATTCTGCAACCGTCACAATCTATGAACTCGAAAGACGCAGAACTTTGCCACTATATCACTACACAAGCACGCTCAGTAAAAGGCCTATTTTTCCAGTAAGTCAATCTTAGTACTACATAGTAACAGTCTCTGGTCGTACAAGCTAAAAAGAACCTATGATCTGCTCGACGTATTTTTTTGGTTTCCATTTCGACCCGAACTACAAAGAATTAGACAAAAAAGGCGAGAGGAACAAGCGACTGCGCACGTGGTCACACACTGCTTACTACACACACACACACACACACACACACACACACACACACACACACACACACACACCGAGATGGCGAAAACCGACGCCATCATCGCGTCACTGCTAGTTACTGGACAAGCCATTTCGGAGCTCAGAGAGCTGCAGCTCAGCTGTGCTCCGATGGGTCGGCCGTCCAGTACGTCTTGACCGCCACGAGGACCTTCTCCTGGTCGAAGGGCCCGTCCTCGTGGTCCAGGATGCGGCTGTCCCACCGCATCCGCTGGGCTATGGCCTGGACCTTGGTGAGCACGTCGACCGTGTCGCGGATGATCGCCGTGCCCTCGGGCCTCAGTATCCTGTCCATCTCCAGGAGGATGTCCGTTATGTCGCACCTGCAGAGTTCAGCAGGATCAAATGTGTCAGCAGGAGTGAGCATCAGTTGAATATTATCACAACATGCTCCCAGGTCTGCATACAAGTTCTTGCGTTTAAACCATGATCTTATGTTACATACTTACAGACAGTATAAACAGCAAACTATACTGTGACACCATAGCCATGAGTAAAGTAATGGTCTAACAATGACAAGTGTCAGCAGGAGTAAGCATCAGTCGAATTTTAAGTGATAATACTCAACCGAACCGATCTGCATAGAAGTCTTATCATTTCCTTTTCAAGTCTACCACTTAATATGGGGTGAACATGGTTCTGATTATCTCTGTGGCAATAACTATTTTTGGTTCCCCTCTATTACGGGTTGGAAAATGATGCGGAGCAACCACTAAAATATCTTATCAGAATCAGTAACAAACTACACAGCAGAACTAAAACACAATTTGATAAGCTGATGCAATCGTATGGCGTAAGTTAGACCGATCTAGGATCACCAACTAAAACACACCGTGATGGAACAATAGAGTAAACGTAAGTAGAACTGATTAAGGATCACCAACTAAAATAGATACTGAAACATGCATGTTTCCTTACCTGTCCTGGTAGATGCTGAACAAATTGTCGGCGTGCAAAAGGTCGTAGGTCCTCGGATACGTCGAGAAGGCTTCACACCAGTCCTGGTAAGTGCCGATGAACCCTCGCTCGTAAATTGCTCCAAGGGTGTCTTTATCCGAATTAACTGGAACGACGTTCATCACCCACACAGGGTACTTAACCAGGGAAGCGGCAAAACCGCCCAAGTTCGCATTCATGTCCATCACATTCCTGTACCGCCCCTGTGCTATGGGCGTGGTGCGTTTGTAGTACGCCAACCTCTTCTCCCACAGCTTCATGTCATCCTCAAACTTCTTTTCATCTATCCCCGGAATCGTGCCCCTCTTAACCCTTGGGGGCACCGTGAATGCCCTCTTTGGCCATCTCGCAACCTCTCCGCCGGCGATTGATCCCTGGTTGCTTACTTCAGGCAATGGAGTAAGACAGGATTCCATCTTCTTGTACCTATACAAAACAGTATGATAAAAAAAAATTCAGAGCAAGACAGACAGATAACTACCAACAGTATGATAACAATTCGAGAAGCAATTTAATACCAGGCAGCATCAGGGTTGTCACTCTTGCAGATATGGGGTATCTTATGCTTCTTTTTTATGTCGGCACACTCAAGGTGGTTCTTGGGCTTCTGCCAGATGGAGAGATCCTCCTTCTCGGCCACCTTATTCCAGCAAAGGCTCCTCGCGACATCCTCAATCTTGTCTTGCTCCCGCTTGAGGTCTTCCTCGGCCCTCTTCCACCCATTGTGGTGCGTCTTCCAGTTGATCGGAGGGCCCGAGTGAATCCAGTAGCCCCCTGGCCTTAGAATTCTATCGATCTCGGCAAGGTACAGTCCATCTGAAGATTTATTTATTTACAACATCAGTCAATCAGGCAGTTCACTCTTACTCAAGAACAGCTTGAAAAAGCTAAGGATCTACATAATAGAGAAAATTTCAGATGTATGAAGTGCTCACCATGTCCTCCCCAAGGAATCAGACAACGTGAACAATGAGCCAGATCAAATGCCCTAGATGGATAAGGCAACCGTATTGATCCCATCACCCCGAGGATGGCAGGCACACCACGTTCCAGTGCAAATTGCACCTGAGCTTCGTGTGTGTCCCTCGGCGCAAACGACACGGTAATGATGTTCCTCTTCAGCAAGTAAGCCCCAAAGCTAGCAACCTTCATCAATAATACAAAAGCATCAGCATCGTAACAACATACATAAACCTGAAGTCAGAAGATTTTCTCCAACAAGATCCTTGTCATACCCCGCAGCCCGTGTCGATCGCCGTCCTGATCCTCCCATCCGACAACGAGATGAGCTTACTGATTTCATCAATGTACGCGTCAGCGCCATGGGGAAACATAGTGCCACCACCGGGGAACCGGAACTTGTTCCCCTCCACTCGGATCCAGTTCTGCACGGCCTTCTCAATGCTGAGCTCCTTGTGAGGGATGTTGTCAAACCAAGCGACGTCCCTGCTCTCCGGCCACCTGAAGGGGTTCTTGTACTTTGGTGGCGCTGGAATGAGGCATCGGATCTGCTCGTCCTTGCCCGGGCAGTGCCTCTCACGGTATATCAGCATGTCCCGGTCAAACAGACGGCCACGTTTCCGGTCCTCGCATGGCGTGTACTCACTCTGATTGAGCGGGCAGGCAGGGAACTGCTGCACCGCAGACTCTGTGTCACTGAGGTTCAGCTGGTGGTGCGCATCAAAATCGAGCACATTCTCAGATGCAGGCGCAAAAGACGGCACCGAGCCGTCTCTCTGCGCCATGGTATCACAGTCAACTCGGCTGATTGCCGAATCAGCCACAGGATTCGGCATGGTGCTGTTCTGCCATGCCCCGAGCACGTAGAAGGCAACGCAGAGAGCGCTCACCACAAGTACGTAGGTGAGACGCTGCTTCTTGGATTCTTGCAGATGCTGGGCTTTAGGAGATGCTGGGTAATCTTTAGCCATGGCTCCTGCAAATTTGGAGAACGAGTGTTAGTACGGTGGTTTCCAACAGAAGCAACAATAGAACTACTGGGAAGTGTAAGAGATGCAAATGAACTCTGTAAAAAGAGCCCGACTGGAACTGTGCATACATTTGAACTGAAAGAACAGTAAAACTGAAAAAGAAACACATGTTTGTCACAGGGCAAACACAAGTCTGAAGCTTAAGGTAAACTACAAGATCTGAATAGT